AGATGGAACCAAAGAATTGAATCATAGATATATTCTTAACATGAAGTAATCAAGAAACTGATAGATAAGGAAAAGAGGGACAAAAGAATCAACATACACTGGATATCACCTGTTTGGTTTTTTAAAGAATGATTGGTTGGTCCATTTGTTTTCTCACCCCTAAAGAAAGGGTTCCTCTTTTTCCTTTTCTCACCCCATAAATGGCCGGGACCGCATACTAAATCGTATACTTCATAAGCAAGCCAAAGTAATTAATATCCAGCTTCCTATGCTTATTTTTCTAATTTGAACCCCACATAAAACAGAGCCACTACTTGGAGAAATCTTAGAAATGGAAATCATTCCCAATTTCTGTTTTGGTTGCCGATAAAACACCGGAAAGCAAAGACCAAGCGTGCTTTTTTTTTAAAAAAAAAAAATCCTTTTTTTATCTGCTTTTGGTTGCTGTATCCTAAATATGGAGAAAAAAATTAATGACAGAACACAAGGAAAAAAGAAGTGAAGATTAATCAGGTTTCGACAAAATAGAAATTGGGAATGATTAACCAGCAACCATACTGATAAAGTGCCATCTTCCCTTCTTTGTGTACTCTCCAAATTCTGCTCGCGTCAATTTTTTTCATGTATGCTCTGAGACATAGCTATGTGGCTTAAACTTTGGTTTCTGTATATGAAAAATATAGTTCTTGACTGCGAAGCTTTTCTGTATATGTCACAGGTTCTTAAATTCTATCCTAAATTCCCTATGTTCAACTAGAAAGAAAGGTTTCCTTTTATTGTGTTTTCCCCGTTTTGCCCCCGCTCTCCTCCGATTGTAACGACTTGAGCCTTCGTTCTATCAGACGCTGAGTTCGCTTCTAACCAGGTTGGTTGGCCTGGTTGCGGGGCAATGATGGAAGAGGTCGGTCTACTGTTGGAGATTATCTGGAGGCTTCGATTTTTATAGGAGTGGTGTGCGTTGGTCTTCTTCTTCTTCAGATCGAACTCCAGCTTTCTCTCTGTTTCAGTCTCTTTCTCTTACTGATCTGTAAGTAAATTTTTCTTCATCTTTCCATTAATTTGCTGCCCTTAAAGTCCAAATCCCTAATTTTTCCTCTGTGTTATTGATTTGCAAATTCTATCCAAATACTGAAATTGACTTGATTGTGTTATTATTTTGATGAAATCAAGTTAAATAATTTAGTTATTAAAATACTATATGATTGCTTTTGATAAGGTTTTCTGTTTGGTTATTAAAAATTAGTTGGTAAATTCTGAAAATCGGTATTTGGATATACTGGTTCTTTTGTTACCGGGTTTAGGATAGCTCTGTTTTGCTAAGCAGGATATGCTGCTATTTAGGTAGCTCTGTTTAAAGATATGTTCGTTCTTTATTCAAATTCGTTCTTATACTGGTTTATGGGACTGGGGATTTGAATTTGATAAATTTTGTTTTGGTAGGGGAAAGAAAATTTGGGAGTGTGATTCTAGGAACTGGTTGCAATGTTTTAGCATAGTTGACTTGAAGAAGATTGGTTTGGGAAATATGTGGGATTTAAAAATCTGACTTCTAAATTGGAATTCTGTTTGTGGACATTAGTGATGACGAGAAAGAATTCAGAAAAGTTAAAATTCATAATATTTTTGTTTGTGGGTTTGATTTACCAAGAAGATTTTTGCGTTGAATGGAGACTTATTGAAAACTAAAAAAGTTTGTATATCCTAATTTCAGAATGCAGAGTTTGGTTCCATTGTTTTTTTCCTTTTCATGGGCTCATAATCTGGCCATGCTTCTACTCTTTGCAGTTGCTAGGGACTGGAATGGATATGCAGGATACATCTCCTTCAGTGTTGCTATTCTTTGACAAGCAAAGATTTGTATTTAATGCTGGAAAGGTAAGGAACTCAATTACATACATTTACATCTGATTAGTTTTGTAATATTAAAAGTAAGGTGATGATTCAATTATTGTTTATGAAATGGTAATTAGAGATCAATGATAAACCTGTTGTTAAGTAATATAGTGTCTCTTACTTTGCAACTCTCACTGCAGGGATTGCAACGGTTATGCACAGAGCATAAGATTAAGTTATCAAAGGTATAAGATATCTGAGATCCTTACCCATTAGGTAGTTAAGACCAAAAGTGGGGCTCTATATATACGCCTGGTGGTTAGCGAGAGAGAGTGAGTGGTTTTAAAGGGTGTCAATGGCCTTTGAATTTTACTTATATAAGATTAAAGTTATGTGCTTTCAAGTATTTGTGAGCTCTCTGTATCTGGGTTTTGAGCAAAATGACTTTATTGATAAAGCTTTGATTCTGCTGACTGATGCAGTTTTGCATGTCCTTGGTTAATGCATTTTTGTTTGCTCTACACAGATGATAAATTTTTAGGAGAAATGGAGACTTAAAGAGAGAAGTTATGGATCTGATAAGGGTTTAGGGTTTACTATCTCTAATTTTTGGATCATAATGGAATTTCTTTGATTGCATATGCTGTTTCTCCAAAGCACCAATGAAGAAGGCATTTAGATTTGATGGGTTTGATGTGAATGGTATGTGTCTCTCTCTCTCTCTCTCTCTCTCTCTCTCTCTCTCTCTCTCTCTCATTTTGGTTTGGGATTTTTGATTTATTTGTGAATTAATTTTGTTGGGCGGTTCAATGAAATTATCAGCTTGCTGAAGTTGACTTGGTGTAAATCACATATTTGGTCTACTTAAGTTCTTTATCGTATCTGCCCAAAAAGAAAATTTCTTTATGGTAATTTATAAAGTATTTTGATTCTGTTTTCTGGTGTTTTCCTTTGTTTCTCCAACTAATAGATATAGGGGTTTTCCTTTGTTTTTGGTTCACCAAATGGTTTTCATATATTCTGATTTTCTAATTTTTTATATGAGATGTACAGTTGTTGCGGCTCTTAATCCTTCAATGTTCTCCATCTTACTTGCTAAAGTCGAAAGTTCACATTACTTTGGTTGTTTTTGGGTCTTCCTGCTAACTACTTAAAACATGCATTTTAAGTTCAATTTTTGTTGGCATGGCATTTCCCTCTTTTAAGAATCTATTTCAACGAAGGCATTCAAGTTATATTGCTCAGTTATTTGGAGTTCACAGCAAGACTTTCCATTTGTGTTCATTAAATGTCAAACTGCATAAAATAAGTAAGATTCATGGTTTTTAAAAAGAAAAATTGGGGACTTGCCTTTTCAAATACCGATTGAATATTCGAGTGGGAAAAGTTAAGATGCAACAGCCTCTTTCAAAGTGCTGATGTGCCAGCCATGTGTTTATTCATACGGCTGTGTTTGCAATTTTTGTTGGCTTGGCATTTCCCTTTTTTCTAATCATGCCTGTCAATTGATTGTTCTGATACGAAGATTAAGGGTGCAATAAATTTTTTTTTTTTATACCACTGAAGTTGGGATTTTTGAAGAAAAAGAACTATATCTTCGTTTTGCAGTTTCAACCATTTTGGATTTCTAACTGTCTTTATGAAGATGCTGATTCTTTCTTATATTCATGTCACAAATCAGTGGCATGCTCCTTGAGTTTTTTTTTTTTTTTTAATTATTATTTTACGTGCTTATTCTCCTTGAATATTTAAGCTCAAAATAGTTAAACTGCCATCTGAAATTTTATTAATTTAGTTGTGTGTCTTCTGGATATTGTTAGCAAAGCAAAACAAATTAACAAATTTCCTTCTCTCCATCTCAGTTTTCGCTTACCTAAATTGCATTTGTTTTTATGGCATCTGCATATTGTTTCACTTTAGTTTATGATTTTTTAAAGCATGAACATGATGAACATGACTTGCAAGAAACCCCGCACTTCCTTTTTTTTTTTTTCTTTCTTAGGTAACGTGATTTCAGTTCTGGGTTTCATGAATGTCTAATCATGTTTTCCTTTGTACTTGGATTTCACTGTGCATTTCATATTAGTTTTTGGTTGTATGGATTCAATTTAAGTTTCATGCTTCGCGATGTGTAATGTTAGAATTCTTTTGTAGTTATACTGTTAGAATCCTGAAATTTAAGTTTTTGCTTAAAGTTGGTTGGTTGGTTGTATTTTGAGGCTATGTAATTATGTGGTTGTTGTACTTCATTCTAATTACTGTTTATTTCTGTTTTTCAGTATGAATCATAGTTAGGCAGTCATCCAATTGCTTTTGGTTTGACATATGAAAATTAAAAAGTTATTCAAATCTACATGTCTTATTGAAACTTCGGAATTTTATCTCAACAGATTCAATCGTCTCTCACCTCTCTGACGTATAAGCAATCACTTAAGCAAAGAAGCGAAGATAACTTTCAGGTTAATGTTTCTTTATGTTGATTTATTGACATTTTCTTTTGTGTTACCTCAAAATTCCTTCACAAAATTCGACTTGGCTCTACCACGTGTATTTTGCTCTCTTTCCTTCTGTTTTTCCCCCCTGATTTAATCTCTGGCTCCCATGAAATTTTGATTGTTTTAGGAGAGCTTGGGTACAAAATCCAAATACAAGAAGCAGTCGTTCGCCCAAATTGTTTAACCATTCTTCGCTTTAAAAGTATAATTCATGATTGCCTCTCTATTCCTTATACTCTTACTATTTTTTTGGTACTGATTTCTTTATTTTTGTAATGTTTGTTTGCTCATCGTTTCTGCATTTTCATGTTTGTATATTTCTTTTCTTCCACAAATACACATTTTACGTAATTTCATAACCCGTAGCACCGCGCGGGTCCTTTTGCTAGTTGGATTCCTATTTACCAAATTAGTAAACTATATAGTGTGTTAAAACTAAAGCTCCCTAAAATAAACATGACACAGTTATTAATAGATACACTCACAAAGTTCTTAACTACAACATAAAGTACATGAAACAGCAAAACTACTACTGTTCTTTAGGGAACACAAGAACTACCACTTAAGCCCCAGTGTCGCGCAACCAAGGAGATCATTCTTCTGTTTGGTCCTTGTTGTGACTTGTAGAAGCCCATACTTCCACACAGAAGAGAAAATAAGTGATACAACGAAGGATGTAGAACCTAGAAGTAGTTTTGCAGTAGAGTGGAGTGAAAACTACTAAGACAGTGAAAATGAAAAGGACTCCCAGGATCAATACAACATTGGCAAGCCAATGAAGATTGCTAACTACCACATACACCCCAGCCATGAAGGCTAAGGACATCATGGTAAGCGCAATCCACAGCAGCGGCAATGCGAGACGAAGAGCATTGTACACCAAATTTACGTCTTCCAACTGCGCCCAAATGAGAGTGACTGCAACAAGGGTGGCAGTATACATAGCTATAGTGTTACAAATCACAAAGGTTTGGAACATAGCTTTGGTTAGCAAGATTGACATGCCCTCATGAGGGGCAGAATCGTTGTTGCCACCTGGCATTGTGAAACCGGCTGCAAATGCCACAGTGGCAACAAGTGTGGCAACCACTAGTAAAGCATTCACCCTGTCCTTAAACCTTTCCTCGTGGTGATCTCCACCGCTGGCTGCTACTTTTGGTGATATCTTTTTCCTACTTTGGACATGCAAACTCTGAGCATTCACCTTGTCGTTAAACCTTTCCTCGTGGTGATATCCACCATTGTCTGCTACTTGTGGTGATCTCCACCATTGGTGGACATGCAAACTCTGAGCTGGCTGTGTGAAAGCAGATTTCAATATCGTCCATGTAAGGCTCTGCGCAGTACAAGAAGAAACAATCCAATTACCACACACATCGTTGGTAAAATAGAAACAAATCATATAGAGAGAACAAAAGCATGTACAACATGTAAATGATGATGACAAGTTTTGGTTGATCACTATTTGAGCGCCACAAAAGTGATCATATGACTTGATTCGTTTAACGATAACAGTGATACTCTTGAAGGTTCTAATCACAGCTGGAGCTCCCTATATAGTCTGTTTATACCCAATGAATGCATAGTTAGTGAAGTCTTCATTTTGCGCCCTGCACAAATATTCATTTTCTTCACATGTTTTTTCCATTTGCATGTACAGTGGCCTATCCCTGAATTTTTCTTATTGGGGGCAAGATGTAGACCAAATCTACTAAATATTTCATACACCATTCAAACACTCAACAAGTAACAAATAAGGGTGCTAGATACTTGTAAATCTGAAATCCACAGAGTCTCATAGATAACCAAACCTTGCATAGCTGCCCAGAATACCCAGTCCACACCACTTTGTCTCTCTGCCCTGCCTTGCTTAACAGAGCATCAATGGAACTTCATTCATAGCAAGAAAAGGTGAGTATGGCCAATAGCCGTCACTTGCCCTCAAGTGGACCGGTCACTGGATGTGTGGTGTATATTTTATATCAACCATTTGAGCTGAGTTGCATCAGACAAAGAGTTGTAATCCTACTTCAATAAAATCTACAGAATTTTCTCAATTACTAGTTTCTCCCTTTAGTTCTCTGTTCAATTTCTTTGAGAATATACCAAACTAGAATTCATGCGTACTTGTTCCCAACACACTAAATAGAACAAGGATACTGCCCTAGGAAATGATAGCCAAAATCATCATCATCAGTAATGTGATAAAAGTATATATAGTGCTAACTTACCCCACGGTATGAGTCAATAGTTCCGAAATTGCTTTCTGTAATGTCAAGAGCTGTCTCGCCCATACCATTCAAGAGATTTAAGTTTGTCCTCGTATCCCAAGCCAATCTGTAGACAACCTTGGGATGGTGGTGCTTCGTTGCCAAATGTAAAGGAGTATTTCCGTTGCTGTCTTTTTGGTTTATCAACATTTGAAACTCACCATTTTTGAGAAAATATTTGACAACATTGTCTTTGCCGCATCTTGCTGCAACATGGAGTATATTTTCGAAATTATAGTTCCTATATTCCGTTGAATCAGGACAATGTCGAAGCAGCTCTTTAACAATCTTGACATGACCTTTGCTTGATGCTGAATGGATTGGAAAGTTGCCACGATGATCCACTTGATGAGAATCGGAGAGGTGTCTTTCTAATAAGAAACGAACTCCTTCCATATAACCAATTGATGCTGCACAATGTAGTGGAGTCCTGTCTTTCTCATCTTTTGGGCTCTGAAACGTTTCCTCCATACTAGATATTACCTCTAAGAGTTCTAATGAAATCAAGTATAAGTTAGAACAATATATATAATTATAATGAACTTTTTTCTTTGAAGTTGAAAAAGAAAAAGAAACAGATCAAAATCTATCACACTAGCCGTTGTGACAAAGTACAAAAAAAAGTATTATGGCTTAGGGGACCTTTGTTCCTGCGGCCTAGAATTGCACCGTGCAGTGGGGACTTGCCATGGACATGAACTCGTATGTTTTGCTGAAATGCTTTTTTTCGTATTAGCTTCACGATCTCAGCAAACCCTTCCTCAGCGGCCAGATACAAAGTGGACTTCTGTTCCTTATTACAATCAAAACGAAGGACAGGATAGGCCTCTATCAAACACTTTGCTACTGATTGGTGACCATGAATCAGGGCCTCGTGTAAGGGAGTGTTTTTCTCATTATTTATCGAGGTCAGCAATATGAATACATCACGACCTTGGGCTTCATGGAGAAGAGTGTTTGTGGTATCTAAATCCCCGGCTTTGGCAGCAACATGGAGCGCAGTGTCTCTGTCAGAGTTCGTCTCAAACAAAAGGGGCTTGTGATGTTGTAGGATCTCGGCTGCTAGTTTCGCATGACCAAATTTTGCAGCTATATGAAGGAGTGTGTTGTTATGGGGGTTTAGTCGAGACAGAAGCCAATCGCGAGCATTGGCCCCAAGCTTCCTATCAATGGTGTCAATAAAGCTATCTATCTTGCCCTGAGTTGCGTAGCCGTACAACTGCTGGTACAAGCGCAAATCTTCATCGCCAACTGTTTGCTTAGTCAAGCGTACGGAGGGGCCATTCGCTAGGTTATCGGGACCATTTGGCTGATTTGAGATGAATTCTGGACCTGTTATAGAACCCAATAGGGTATCGGGACCATTTTGCAGATTCGAGATGAATTCCGGACCTGTTATACTAGAACCCCAGCATCCGGAGGGGCCAATCGCTACGCTGATGCTCGCAAAATAAATATAGTAAATGAGTGCCTTTTTAAATATAGTAAATGAGGAGCACTCAAGAGCTAACAGATAATTAAGTATTCATTTTTAGCTTTAAAAATAAATTTAAAAGAATTTAAAAAATTTAGAAAGAAAAAAGAAAGAAAAATAAAAACCCAAAAACCATCTGCCTCATCGACGGCGATGAAGGCCCCTTGCCATGACTATCTGTTTCTCTATCTGTGAATATGATGACAGTCCATGGCAAATGAATCCTTCCAGTTTCACAATCAAAATAAAAACTTTGATTTTGCTTTAGATATATGTTGAAACTTGGATTCCTCAAAGACCATAAACTCACCCCCAACAAAGTTTCATTCAAAATTCCTTGAACCCTACCCGTAATAGAGAGGAGGGAGGAAGAGGGAAGGGAAGAGAGAAAGATACAGACATATGAAAAAGAAAGATCAACAGCAGCCTTGGTAGAAAGGTGCGGGTGGGGTCGGGGCTTTGTCACAAGTTTAGAGAATGGATTGTGAAGGAAACCTTTTAAAAAATCGCGAGTTTCATTTGAACATCAATATAGATAAATAAAATCATGGCAACGGAAGCTTAAGCATGCATCTATGAGTTTAAAAACAAAAACTTTTCCCATGAATCTTTTAAGCCAAGTGATAGTTGTACTATTGTCCTAGACCATACTTCTAAAAAGATTGGAAGGAGGAGTTACCCTTGGTGCGTGCTTTCAACATTAACCAAAGCTTGAATGGCTCCTTCAAAATCTCCACCTTGTTGTTGAAGCTTGAATGGCTCAGCCGATTGTTCCTCCATTATGTCATTGCGACCATTTTGCTTAGCTGAGATGAATTTTGGACCCGTCATAGCAGAACCCAAGGATACGGGGGTGTCAATCGATATGCTGATGCTCGCAAAATAAATATAGTAAATGAGTGTCTTTTTAAATATAGTAAATGAGGAGCACTCAAGAGCTAACAGATAATTAAATATTCATTTTTAGCTTTAAAAATAAATTTAAAAGAATTTAAAAAAACTTAGAAAGAAAAAAGAAAGAAAAATAAAAACCCAAAAACCATCTGCCTCGTCGACAGCGACGAAGGCTCCTTGCCATGACTATCTGTCTCTCTATATGTGAATATGATGACAGTCCATTGGCAAATGAATCCTTCCAGTTTCACAATCTAAAGAAAAACTTTGATTTTGCTTTAGATATATGTTGAAACTTGGATTCCTCAAAGACCATAAACTCACCCCCAAGAAAGTTTCATTCTAAATTCCTTGAACCTACCCGTAATAGAGAGGAGGGAGGAAGATGGAAGGGAAAAGATGAGAAAGATACAGACATATGAAAAAAGAAAGATCAGCGGCAGCCATGGTAGAAAGGTGCGGGTGAGGTCGGGGCTTTGTCACAAGTTCAGAGAAGGGGTTGTGAAGGAAACTTTTAGAAAATCATGAATTTCATTTGAACATCAACATAGATAAATAAATAAAATCATGGCAACGTAAGCTTAAGCAAGCATCTATGAGTTCAAAAACAAATTTTTTCCCATGAATCTTTTAAGCCAAGTGATAGTTGTACTATTGTCCTAAACCATACTTCTAAGAAGATTGGAAGGAGGAGTTACCCTTGGTGCGTGCTTTCAACCTTATGATCGAATTCTACCAACTCTTGAATGGCTTCTTCAAAATCTCCACCTTGTTGTTGAAGCTTGAAGGGCTCAGCCAGTATTTGATGAATTGATTTTGTTACATTATGTTCCTCCATTATGTCATCGCGACCAATTTGCTTGTCAGCCACAAGTTTTGCATCCATCGCAGCACAGCCCACCTTATGCAAGGATATTGGGAGGTCTGCCTCTATGCTGATGCTACTATGTCCTCATTGGTGGCCACGCGTAGCACTTTGTCCGCCATATATGGACTTGAACGCTGCTCCTATCTACACAACATCGCGGAGATCAATCCATGACTATGTGTTCCTTTTTAAATATAGTAAATGAGGAGCACTCAAGTGCTAACAGATAATTAAGTATAATTAGATACAATTAGCGGTCTATGCATATACTTACCAAGTACAGGAGGTGTGGAGGAGCCTGAGAGAGAGAGAAAACGTTAGATAATATATAACAATAGCTTGCTTCAAGTCATTGTTGGGTGAATTAATGCAGTAGTACTACACTATAACGGAGTAGGAAGTAGCTAGCTAGGAAAGACCCTGAGAGAAATAGAAACTATACAAACAAAGAAGAAGACAGTAGAGACAGGGCTTTTATATTATGTTCTAAAGAGGTCTGGTAAGGTCTGAATTTTTTGTTGCTCCTTGCCATAAACTGCTGCAGATACAGGGATTTTTATAACAGAACAAGAACATCCTAGAATATGGGAGTAAATGCTAACCACCAACTACCATCTGAGAGAAAACTTAATTACCAGCTGCTATCTTAAACACAAGAGGAATGCTAATCAAAGTAGCTCAAAAGCGACCGTTATCATAATCTCCGCATGAGTTTTTATTATTATTGAACTCTCACATTGGAGTTACAATATTAATTAGCTTATTACTTGGAGTGAGTATTGAAAATTGATTAAACGTAAGTACCATCAACATCAAGACTGAATTATTGAATATAGACAACATTCTATTGCCTTCCCGCTTTGCTGTCAACACTGCATGCATGGACCCAACACTCTCTCTGTGTCTCTCCATAGGGCATCGCTTGAAAATTGGGTTTTTGTTTTTGGCTATCTTTCGAGCGTAAGTTTGGAAATTGTATTGTGCAAGTTTAATTGGGCATCACTTTCTTTCACTTACTTCCTTTACTTGGTTTGATTTCTAGCCTTTGTTTTCTTTGTGGCTGGATGGGCACCCTTTCATTTCCTTGCACTACTACATTTTAGTCTTTGCGCGACGAAAGGGTATTCGTCGCGCAAAAATGATTTTAGTCGCACATCATTATGCGCGACAGAAGTTTCGTCGCGCACAGTCCGTCGCGCAAAGTTCGTGAAGAAAGGATTTGAGCGACGAACAAATGTCATTCGTCGCGCAGTTTGCGCTACGTATAACAACTTCGTTTCAAAAAACATTTGGGGACGACCTCATTGTCCGTCGCACAAATATTTGCGCGACGAAACAGCGGTCGTCGCAAAAAACTGCGCGACGGAATTGTCCGTCACGCGAGCTACATGAACCTTGCGCGACGACATCTTAATCGTCGCGCATACACATCTTGCGCAACGAAATTACTCGTCGCGCAAGATTAAAATATATTTGTCGATTTATTATTTAAATGTTTTTGCGAGACGATTTACGTTTCGTCGCGCAAAAGCAATATATATTATTAAAAAAAATTATTATTATTTGATTTTTAATTTTGTAAAAAAATAAATTTGGTTTTTTTTTTAAATTAAAATGAAATTACAATAAAAAAAATTAATCGTAAAGAAAACATCTATTATATAAAATAAAATAAATGTATACAAATTGTAAAAATAATTATAAAAATAAAAAACTAATCAAATAATGTTCCGAAATCTACTTGGTCGTCTGCCACATGCGGCTCGGAGGTGTGGGCGTCTACAGGGGCCGTGGTCTGGTGGGGATGCTCAGGGTGGACGTGCTCGGAGTTCGGCGCACCAAAATTCGGGATTGGAATGCCGGACCGCGGGAGGGACTGCAGAATCACCGACATCTAACTCTCAAGCTTGGCAACCCGCGATGTCAAAACAGTCACCTAACTGTTTGCCTGCGACGATGACCGCGGTCGAGGTTCCCTCTGTTGGGCATTCCCCACCCCCCTACAATACGTTCCCGGCCTCCTCCCAAGAGTCTGATCTAACGTCTGCGTCAAAATCTGAAATCCAGCATCATGCGGAGGATCCACAGACTCGATCGGAGTCTCGGGAGGAAGTTGGGAGGCGGACTC